ATCTTTAGTTGCTTGCTGAGTTAATCATCTGGGTCACTCTGTTCATTGTTGTGGTGTTTACCAGGTAGAATGTAAGCCGAGTTGGAACTATCTGGTCCCTGACTGGCTAGGCTGACCCAGCTCTTTGTATTGTGCTGCAGTTTCCTGTCCTGAAAGGACTGATTCCGGGTGCCAATAGACATTGATGTCACTGGCTGCCTGCAGTGACTGCTTCTCAGAGCACCTGCTTGTTGCTTATATCTTTGTACTTTTTAAAAGATAACATTTATATACTTGTGTGAGCATGAGTGTGTCACTACTATGTGTGGTCAGAGGACAACTTGCAGGAATCAGTTCTTCCTACCTACAGGCCCCAGGCTTGGCTTTACCTGTTGAACCATCCATCTGGCCATCTTTATGCTTTGTATACATTGTGTACATTTTGGGGGAGAGGATTCAGATGGGTATTTCACCTGGTTTCATCTTGAACTTGCCATCCTCCCTTCTCACCTGAGTGCTGGCATGGCTGATAGCACCTGCCTTTCCATGTGTCTCTTTGACTGTGGCTGACTTAGGGATAGATAGGAGGAAGGTGTTTTGTTAAATAGGACATGGTGTGCCTGGACTGCAGATGAGTCCTGGACAAAAGGCAGACAGGCGGCTGCTTGTCTAGAGCTGGCCTGAGGCCAGTGGTTGCAGCAGGAGTGACACCTACCCACTGTCCTCAGGCAGGGCCACAGCTTGCTTCTGGACAGGGTGATGGCCCTAGTGATCCAGCATGATGGGTTCTACTCCCTGTGGAGTTTAAGTCATTAGCCATTGTGGCTAATATGGGCTTTCAAGCTACTGTGCTTGGTTTGGTGTAGGAGTGGTGGGCTCCAAATCAGAACCTCATGTATTCTAAGCAAGTGCTTTTCCTTTGATTTCGGTCTTCAACAACCCTAGCAAGGTTCTGATGCCACATTTGGGGGTCTCAGACTCCTGCTACTGGCTGCATGGGAGAACTTTCACCCGATTGAAAGCAGGGAGAGGCACAAGAGACCTTGCCTGAGAAGGGCTGCCCCATGAGTGCATGAGTGGCATACCAGGGCTCCCATCTCCCCACACTGCCTTCCTCCTCAGCTGCACTGTCTCTTCAGGGAACCTTTTCTCACAGATGGATGGCTGCCTGCTTGTGATCCCTATATTCTCTTTCTGTTTGTTTCTCTGTGTAGCTTTGGAGCCAGTCTTGGCACTCATTCTATAGACCATTGAACTTACAGAGATCCGCCTGCCTCTGCCTCCTGCCTGGCTGACTCCTATATTCTTGCAACCTCTGTCTCATTAAAAACAAACTGTGATGATATTTTGTTTATGATATAACACATAAAGCTTGCCTGAAGATCAGAGTGCAAACTTATCCACACTAGCTAGCCATAGAGGCCAGGCAGTGGTGGTACACACCTTTAATTCTAGCAGCCACACTTGTTAGCTATAGAGGCCAGGCAGTGGTGGTACACACCTTTAATCCCAGTATTCGGGAGACAGAGGCAGACAGATCTTTTGTTAGTTCAAAGCCATCCTGAGCTACAAGAAATTGATTTAGTCTAAAAGAGAAACAGAGCTCACACAAAGGTGATCTCAGCACTTGGGATCCCAAGCCTTTAATCCCAGCACTAGAGAGGAATATAAGGCAGGAGGAGACAGGAGCTCATTGCAGTCTGAGGAGCAATACAGGTGGAAGCAATCTGAGGTTCAGTGGATCACCCCTTCAGTCTGGGCATTGGTAGAGGTGAGAACTCTCTAATGGCTGGCCGCTTTGCTTCTCTGATCTTCAGCTTTAACCCCAATATCTGTCTCTGGGTTTTTATTATTCATGCTACAACAAACAAGCAAAACATCTTTTGAAACAGCTGTCATGGAGCCCAGGCTGACCTGGAACTTACTGTGTAGAGGAGGATGGCCTTACAGTCTGATCTCCCGGGCCCTGCCTCCCAGGTGTTGGGATGATAGGTATGCAACACATGACCACAGTATGTAGTGCTGAGGATGGACTCCACAGCCTCATGCATGCCAAGACAGTGCTCCACCAACTGAACTATATAGCCCTGGCATTTTAAAGACATTTATTTTGAGTCAGGCTCTCCCAGTGTAGCTCAGGCTGACCTCAAAGTTTTTACATCTGTGTGTCAGCCTCCTGCTCTGCCTGGCTTGGGATCTCCTCAGTAAAGTGATTGGCACCTGCTGTGTTGCCTCTCTTGCCCATGCCTCTTTACTTACCCTGTATCCCAGGGCCTGACTGTTGCTCACTGTCGAGATGCTAGGGGATTCGAGAAATACTGGGTGGGCTGTGTTGGGAAGAGCACTGCCACAGAGAATGCTGGGTGTGGGTATGCTGCAGTAGAGGAGCTGGTCAGAGGGTTGCCTGTGGAAGGGAGACAGTCAAGAGAAGCAATAGCCGTGCGGACCTGTGAGAGGGCTTGGTGGGTAGAGGCACTTGCCACCAGGCCTGCTATTTGAGTTCAGTTCTGGAAGCCACGTGGTACGAGAGACCAAACTCCTACAAGTTGTTCCCTACAAGTGCTGTGCCCATGCTCATCCTTCCAATAAACAAACGGATGAATGAAAGAAGTAGCCATCGGATGTGCAGACTAGCCCCTCCGAGCTCCAGGGCAGCCACGGCCACCTCTTACCTCTGCTTTACCTCTTTGGCACTGCCATCAGTTAGGGGCTGGAGAGGTCCTCATCACAGGGAATTAGCCTGCCCTTTCTTCTGCCTCCAGCCCTTTTTTTTTTTTTTTTTTCCTGGTGCTGGAAATGGAAACCACTGATTTGCACGTTAGGATGTTTATCTTTGCTGGAAAATGTAAAATTGAAAAGCACACTCCTTTTGAATTAGGAGAAGCTAGTTTTCAGGCTGGTGTGTGACTGAAATATTAAGCAGCATTATTGTTCCCATTGGGCTGGATGAGGCCTCAGGTCCCCTCCCTGTCTGTGTTGGGATCTTAGATGCAGCTGAACTCTGGTGGGGTCTGGGAGGTATTTGTCTCTTAGGTTTTGTTTGGTTCTTAGGTAGGGTCTCTGAGGCTGTCCCCATCACTCCTAAGAGTTGGAACCTTGTGAGTGGGGCTGGGAATCTTGGCCAGCTGGGTCTGCTGAGCACCCTGGACCATGGGATTAGTATTCTGTCTCAGGCCAAATTCTTTCACTTGAGGGCGTATAGCTTAGTGGTGGGTGTGTGCCTGGTGTTTAGAGGCCCTGAATTTCAGCCCTTCCCTTCCCCCAGTCAACTCCAACTCCCACAGTTGCAAGGAGGAGGAGGGGCCAGGACAGGTATCTCCAAGAATCAGACCTTAAGAAGTGCTTTTTTCCTCAGTTCTGTACCCAGGGTGTAGGGGTAGGAGAGACATTGCTCTGGGGCTGAGGGGAGTGGAGAGCAGTCAGTCCTAGCACTCAGCACAGGAATAATTTGTGATGTACAGGGGTGACAGTGCCTGATGTTTGGTGGACCTCGGTGGGCAGAAAGGAAGGATGGAGTGCTACTGTGAGCGTGACTGAGGGTGGTGAGTGGATGTGTTGGTCTGAGCTTGTGCGTGAGTGAGTGCATTAACCTGTGTGGTCTCTCTATGGTTTTCTGTCATCGAGATGGACATTCAGTAGAGACTGAGCCTGAGACTAGGGCCTGCTCCTCTCTTCAGGCGGGACCTCCTTGTCCTAGTCTATGGTGGTGTGTCCTTGCCTTTGTAATGGTGAGGCCTCTGAGCAGGGGAGAGGCTTTGTGCTAGCAAGTGGGCCAGGCAGAGGGGATACTTACTGGCTTTAGCTCTTTCTTGTCTAGACACAGCTTTGGTCCTGGTCCTCTCACCCAGCCAGTGTGTGTGTGTGTGTGTGTGTGTGAGAGAGAGAGAGAGAGAGAGAGAGAGAGAGAGAGAGAGAGAGAGAGAGAGAGAGAGAAGACTGAGCCTCAGTTTAAGATGCTAGAGCTCAGGGCCTGCTGTCTGAGGACTCAGGCAGTAACAGGCCAGTGGCCAGAGCTATTGATGTCACTAGTGATTGTCCAGAGTAGGAAGGAGGTGACAGGCTGACCCTCCAAGGCTCGGTGGGATCAAGGCGTCCTGACAGATTGGAAGTACCCCAGGAGGAGGCCAGGTGCATTCAAACCCAAGTCCAGGGCCCTGTGTTCAGGTAGGGGGCAGTGGGCCAGGTCGGGGGAGTCAAGCTGAAAGATAAAGGTGACAGCCCCAGGGCCATGGAGGAAAGGAGTTTTTCAAGGCCGAGGGTGTTCTAGCAAGAGTGCTGTACAGAGTGGGATTCTCCAGAAGGTGGGAGGTGGCCCTGGGTGTGACTGGCAAGTCTGCTGAGCTGAGGTGCCATTTGGGGTGATCGCCCCCAGACTTTCCAGGGTGCTGTTCAAGCACAGGCAGAGTGGGGGAGGATGGTCTTTGAGCTGGGTGGTGAGCTGTGTAGTGTGTCTGGAGACTGAGAAGGCACGGCTTCTGGGTAGTGCTCTTTGGCATCTATTGAATGTCCCCTGGACAGACTCTGTGAAGACTACTTGGAGCAGAGTGTGCTTTTCTGCTGCCCTGGTGCTTTAATAGCTTCCTGGAGGGAAGCGGAGTCATCCTGCTCAGTCATATCTGCACCTCAGCTTCTGCCAGGGTGATGACTGCTCCCTGCTGCCTGCGTTCCCTTCTGTGCCCTGAGTCTGGGAGGTCAGTCTTGCTAGGGGCTGCAGTCCACCTGGCCCTCAGGTCTGCATCTTTGTTACCCAGCATGTGCTCTTCTGCTGGGATGAATCCTACACCAGCTCCACAGTCCTCTCTCCTTGTCATTGTTGTTGTTGGGTGGGATTTTTTCTGTGTAGTTCAAGCTGACCTGGACTTCCTTCCCTACTGCTGTCTGACCTCTGCAGCAGAGCCCTGGACCTGCTGGATCCTTGGATCCTTTGCCCCAGCCTTGAAGCCCCTCACTGCCACACAGTTCCTGTCTGCCATCCTGGACTCCCTTTGCCATAGGCTGTCCTTCATGAAGCCCAGAGCACTGTCGTGGGCTGCTGCATGCACACTGTTGATAGAGTAAGTGAGCAAGGGAGGAGGGGTGGAGCCAAGTGCCTACCTGTGTCTGTGGAGGTTTGGAGATGCTGGAGTGGAAGCAGGGTAGAAGGGCCTTTCTAGGAATAGGATGAGCTTCCACTTGGAGCCATGTGATGTGAATGAATCAGTATAGCCAAGGACCACAAGGCCTTGGTGGTGGGATGTGGAGACAGAGGCCCAGAAAGGCGGTCCACTGTCCCAGGGTTGCCCAGCAATCCAGGGCTGGGCTAGGAAGGGAATCCACGTCTGTTGGGTGGAGTTGGCCCCTGCACGGGAATGTTTACTTTAGCTCAGGCTTGCCTGCAGTTCAGCAGCCAGCCTGCTGCTTTACCCTCCCAAGTGCTAGGGTGATCGGCATGTGCTACCACATCAGGCTGGGATTTCTTGCCTTAGTGAGGCCAATGAGGCGGGTGGAGTAGCTGGCAGAGCCAGACAGGCTTATCTTGGAAAGCTGCTGCAAGTGACCTTTTCCCCACAGGGTCATTTCTTGTAGTGGAGGCTGGGATCCAAGGTCACCTGGTAGCAATTGATGCTCTCAACTCTTGAATCTGAGTTCTGGTAGTGTGGAACAGTTTCCCACTGTGTTCAGTGGTCTCTTCCAGTTGGGGTGGGCACACCCAGAATAGGCTATGTGTAGATCATTCAGCCCCTGGAAGAGTTTGGGAATCTAAAGATCTTCCTGACCGTACTTTTATCTTGTCCCTTTTTCTGTCCTGTGGACAGAGAAAGATGGCCCAAAATTAGAACACCAGAGAAAGTGGAAGAAGCAAGCCAGCTGTCCAAGAAAGTCCGGTCAGTGTGGGCCCCATTCTACCATGTTTAGTTTTCAATCTTTGGTCTTTTTCTGTGGTGCTGGGGATGGAAGCAGGACCTTGGCTACAGCCTGCAGGGCTGTGGGCTCCATGTCCTCTCTTCTTACCTGGCCCGTCCTTGTCATCTGTGTCCTGGGCTTAGGCATCGTTTCTGCTACGCTCTGTCACTCGAGTCGTTACTGGCTTGGTCAGGCCTCAGCTGCCTGTCCCCATCTATTTCTGATTCCAGGAGGGAAAACAGCTCTTTTACCCTTCCTGCCCTGCATATCTGGATAAGTTTTTCTGGTGGACTCCAGGCCACTCCTATACCTGGGGGTACAGATGTATGAGCTCTGTTTGAAGTGCCAGTGCTGGAACCCAGGACCTCCCCCACAGACTCAGCACTCCTCTCCCCACTAACCTCAGCCCTGCCCAGAAAGACAGCTATTCACTGTTAGACAAAAGCCTGGTCCTATTGGTGGAAAAGTTCTCTTCTCTCTCAACATCTGCAGGTTCTAGGCCTGCACACACTAGAGGGAGAGGAAGGGCAGAGGGATGACATGAGCTCAGCACAGGCAGCCATGTGCACAGTTTTTTGTGTTTTGCTTTTCATTGTGAGTCAGGCGCTAACTATGTGACCCAGGCTGGCCTGGAGTGCATCATCTCCTGCTTCAGCCTCAGCTCCCTGGGATGCAGGCAGGTACCACCATGCCCACTCAGACCCATTTCTTTAATTCCAAGGTGTCTTTTTGTTCTTTGAGGTGATATTGCAGTTGGCTGAGGATGACCTCTAACTTGGTATAGGTAAGAGTGATCTTGACCTTGACATGCTTGTGCTTTGTGTGTGTGTGTGTGTGTGTGTGTGTGTGTACAGACACAAACCAAACACTGAGATTGTTGTAGTCAAGTGGCAGCTTTGACAGTGATGCAGAAATCCATGGGTCATTTCCCTCCGCAGTCAGCAACCAGCTGTGGCTGTAGCTTTAACCTGGTGGTTAGACAGTGAGGAGTCACCTTTTTGGGACTAGTCTCTTGTGCTCAGTCTCTGGCTGTTGGGTGTGGTTTGTGTGGTGGTTTTCTACATTCGCCTGTTTTTCTGTTTTATTTGTATGTTTTGCATTTTGGTCCATGGTCCATTGTTCAGTTTAATTTTTTGTGTGTTGGTGTGTATGCAGGTACCCATGTGTGCTCCTGTGTGAAGGATAACAGAGTAATGTTGGGTATCTCCCTCTATTGCTCTCAACCTTGTCTTTAAATTTTTTTAATTAAATGTATGTGAATTTGTCCGCAAGAGCGTCACAGTGCTCCTGTGGATGTCAGAGGTTGGCTTCTATCCTAGAGGTTCCAGGGTTCAAACTCAGGTTGTCAGGCGTGGTGTGACAGATGCCTTTACTGGCTGAGCTGTATCACTGGCCCAGCCTTATCTTTTGAGACAGTCGCTAAGTGGACCTAGGACTGGCTGCCCACTCAGTTCTGGGACCCTTCGTCCCCTCACTAGAGTTACAGATGGGTTCAACCACACCTAGCCTTTTCTTTTTTCTTTTAAATGGAGTCAAGTCTTGCACAGCAGGCATCTTACCACTGAGCAGCTTCCCCAGTCCAGAACTGTGCTCCCAGCTCCTCCCCTTCCCTGTCCCTTTCCGCCTGCCTCCCTCCCAGCTTGTTGAGCTAAACCCTGACCTTCAAATGTGTTCTTTTTTGGGGGGTGTTTGGAGTGCTGAGCCCAGGCTCTCCTAGAGCTAGTAATTCCCCTGCCTCTGCCTCCAGCCTCCATGAACTGGTTTGAGTGGTGTGCGCTCTATCAGTGTTTGTAGGTTTGACTCTAGGAGTCTTGGTGTGGCTCCAGCAGACAGATGGAGGTGTGCAGACTGTAGCAGGGTGTTTATACACTAGCTCTTGTTAAAGAGTGGAGGCCCAGGACAACTGTAGTGTTGTTCAGCTGTGTTGGGTTTTTAGCAGCAACCCCTTGCTCTTGGGACCTTGACTGCACTCCCACCAGCAGCTCTGCCAGGCCCTGTCTTTGCTTCGTGAGCCATTCCATGGAATTTTAGTTTGCATTTCTGTGCTGGTTCATGGTGTCCAACATCTTTGCACTTTCCCCCATGTGTATCTTTAATGAAACAGCCATTGTGTCTTTTGCTACTCAATGAGCAGTGCTGTGTAGGAAGATGAGCCCCCCCCCCAGTTGTATTTTATGTGTATTGTTGTCAGGGTGTTGGATCCCCTGGAACTGTAGTTACAGACAGTTGTGAGCAGCTATTTGGGTGCTAGGAATTGAACTTGGGTCCCCTGGAAGAGCAGCCAGTGATCTTAACTACCGAGCCATCTCTTCAGTCCTATTTCTCACTGTTCTTATGTGAACATTTTAATTTGGGAAATTTGAGTTAAACTTTTCCTTTGGTGTCAGGTCTAAGAATTCTTCCTCCTCCCCGAGACAGGGCTCTCTCTTTGTACCCCTGGCTGTCCCTGAACTCACTCTATAGACCAGGCTGGCCTCAAACTCAGAGAGCCTCTCCCTGCCTCTGACACCCGAGTGCTGGGATTAAAGGCTTGCAGCACTACTCTAGTGTGTGGATGGAACCTGGGTACTATGTGTGCTCAGTAAGTGAGGCTGATGGGAACCACGGTCATCACATGCTTAGTAAGTGCTGGGGATGGAACGGGCCTGAATGTGTAACCCAGGTCCTGTACACATGCAGCAGGTATCCTGGCTTCTAAAGCTTCACCTAGCCCTAGATTCTAAAGACTTTTCTCCTGTGCTTTTTCCCAAATGTTTCATATTTTTATGTTTTACATTGAATGAAGTCAGGCTGGGTATTGGTGGCGCACGCCTTTAATCCCAGCACTCAGGAGGCAGAGGCAGGTGGATCTCTGTGAGTTTGAGGCCAGTCTGGTCTCCAGAGTGAGTGCCAGGATAGGCTCCAAAGCTACACAGAAACCCTGCCTCAAAAAACCAAAAAAGAAGAAAAAAAAAAAAACAAAGAAAAAAACATTGAATAAGTCTGTAATCATTTGTATTTTCACCTGTATCACCTATATGTGGGCCAGCAGCTGGGGTCCACTTTGCTCCTCCAGCACCACACTGAAAACTGCCCTTCTTCAGGCCACCAAGCCACCTCCTGCCCTCATAGTCTTCAGATGAGGCCCCTGATGTAGCTTTTACTTTGTAGAAAGAAATTATTATACTTACTTATGTTGGGGGACACTGTAGAGTGTGTGTGTGTGTGTGTACTGTAGGTCAGAGGACAACTTGAAGGTGTAGGGGTCAAACTCAGGTTGTCAGGCTTAGTGGCCAGCACCTTTCCACTGAGCCATCTCACCTGTTCTGCTTTTTGTTAGCCGGTTGCGGTTCTTTTTCTCTTGTCCCGCTTAGGTCCCACCACCACTTCAGCCCCAAATAAGCACACAGACACTATATTAATTATAAAAGTGTTGGCTGATGGCTTAGTCTTCTTATTGGCTAGCTCTGTTTTAATTATTAACCAATTTCTATTAATCTAAGTATTCCAGGGAGAAGGGTCCCAGACCTGTTACTCCTTTGGCAGCCTACATGGTGACTCCTCTTGGCAGCCCTCTCTGCCTACCTTTCCCAGAATTCTCCACGTCCTAGTCCCACCTATCTTCCTGCCTCATTGGCCAGACAGTGTTTTATTCATCAACCAATAAGAGAAACATATATACAGAAGGACTTCCATCATTAGACTCCATTGGAACAAGGCTGGGGGGAGGTGTGGCCCAGTGGTGGAGCCTAGCATATGTCAAACTCAGGGTTCCACACCGGCATTGCAAACTTGGGGGTATCATGCAGGGCAGTGTGGTGCTGCAATCCCAGTGCTTTAGAGGCTGAGGCAGGATGGTTGCTGGCAGTTGAGGGAAGCCTGGGCTGCATAGTGAGTTCAAGGCCAGCCTTGGTTACATAGTGACATCCTGTCTCAAAACCATAATAATAATTAGCAAACAGACCCATCTCCGTGGACACATGTAGGCGCACGCTTGTCTTCTGCCCCATTCTCTCCTTGGTTGACACGGTTGCAGAAAGCCTTGCCGTCAGACACACGTTAGCCTTTTGTCCTCTTCCCCCTCTTCTGCTTTATTTTTATTTGCGTGTGTTGGCTCCTGCAGAAGTTTCTTTGGAATGTATACACAGGTGCCTGTGGAGGCCAGAGGAGGTGTCGGTTCCCTGGAACTGAG